AATAACTGTTATAGATAAGAATTATTTTTTATACACATATAAATATAAATGGTTTTAGAAAGGTTTGGACGCACTATTGCTATCATGATCATCGTCCAAAATTGGCTCGTATAATGAACATGCACATAGGTAAGTCTAAGCAATAACAATAAAGGTAAGTAGAGAATAAGGGTGCAACTTGGGAGTAGGGGTGTTAGGATTTGGTCCAATCTGATCCGGTCCAATGTGAGTCCATTATAAATGGACCAGGTCCAATCCAATCCAATCCAATGTGAATCCATTATAAATGGATCAGGTACAATCCAATCCAGTCCAATGTGAGTCCACTATAAATGGACCAAGTTCAATCCAATCCAATGAATATTTTGGACTAATTTGGACCGGTCCAATTCAATGTTTGGACCGTTCAATATGCTCAAATTCGTTTTGATTTAAATTGGCTTCAACCCAAACTCTTTCCATTGACACCTATGTTCTTATCTTATATCAATAGATCAGATATTGGCTTAATCCAACCCAATCCAATATAAAATTATTACGGATGGGCCAGGTTCAATCCAATTTAATAAATATTTTGGACCAGATTGGTCCAATCCAATATCTTGTTGATCCATCCAATTCGTTGAAATTGATTTTGGACTGAATGGGGTCCAATCCAAAACCGGTCCATTGACATCCTTACTTGGGAGGGCCCAACCTGAGCCTAGACCGACCCAGCCTTAGACATGAAGAGTAGTAGTAGCAGGCAAGGGATATATAGTGCCATAGTGGTTAAATGGACTTACAAAGGCATATGATGGAGCAAACTTGAACAATTTGGAAGTTGTCTTGAGATTGAAAGGCTTTTGGGATAAGTGGATAAAAATGGCGTTGAGATGCATTAAAAATCCTTACTTTTCTATTTTAGTTAATGGGGAGCAAAAAGGTTGCACTCCTATCTCCTTTTTTGTTCACACTTTGGGAGATGTTTTGAACTATTTCCATGAGAAGGCTATTGGTTCGTAGAGACTTCATGGTTTTGAAGTGACGCAAGTAGGTAAAGATAAAGTGTGCTTATTCATTTCGGCATGTGGATAACACAATACTTTTTGTTGAAGTTGAACGAGGCATAGTCTTGGAACACCTAAAAGGGATAATTATGAAGGTGTTTGATTCCATTTATATTGTAAACATTTTGTATTTGTGTGCCTTCAAAACCAAGAAATACATTTAATGAAGGCGTTTATGACACATGCGCCATTAGGCACCACATAAACAAAATGCCAATAAATGCCTACCTGTTTTAGGAAGCTCCAAAATGAAGCTTCCAAAAATGGGAGAGGTGCACAGAAACAAAAGTTTGCAAAACTAAAGCAAACTTAAATACACACAAATGCAACTAATGAGGCGTTTGCCGATGGGGCACCTGTGTGGCACTGCCAATAAACATAAACAGAACCAAACATATAGTATGTGTTTTAAGAATGTAACTGGACTCCAAATTAACCTAGCCAACAATAACTTGATTAGAAATCGACATTCATGATGATTCTACATTGAGGCAGCTTGTAGAGATCAAATTGAGGAATTGCCTATTTGTTATTTGGGAAGGTCATTGGGTGGGAACCCTAGGAGCTTGTGATTGAAACGTGTGAAAAATGATTGACCATGTGGAAGAATAGCTACTTGTTAATTAAGAGGTGGTGGTAGGGTTACCTTAATAAAAGCAGTACTTGCAAATCTTCTAACCTATTTTCTCTTGGGCTATGTTTTGTTTAAAGGAAAAAAGTATGGAAAGGAAGGGAGAAATAAGGAAACTTTTATAAACCTCGTATAGGTTTCTTTACCTTTCCCTTCTTTTCCCTACTTTTTCCTTCAAACCAAACACAGCCTTGGTGTTTAGGAATTAGGACACTTGTCAAAGTTTGAAATGACTGATAAGACTGAGAAGCTTCAACGTGATTTTTATTTGGGACCAGGTGTGGGAGCCCAAGGAAGCTAGAGTTTTGGGTATCTAGAGGATCAACTTCAAGAACACAGCTCTACTTCTCGTAGGAAAATGGTTATGGAGGTATCCTCTTAAAAGGCAGCTTGTGGACCACGATCCTCAATAATAAATATGGAGTGCATGCAAATGGTGGGATAGTAGACTTTGTTCCTTTGACTCAGTTTGGAAGGAGTGCAAATATAAATGTATACAAAATACAAAGTTTTGCACTCTACAAATGTACTCCTTCCAAACTGAACCTTTAGAGTTTAGAGTTTGTTCTCAGTCTCCATGGAAAGGTATTGTTGCTGTTTATTTCTTGTTATTTATATCTCATATTAGATATGTTGTTAAAAAATGGAATCGGGTCAAGTTTTAGACATAACTTTGGTGGGGAGAGAGATCTTATCTCTTCAATTCCCTCGATTGTTCAAATTCTCTCTCAAGTCTCAACCCAAAGCCTTTGTATTTAACATGTACAACTCTCCTAGCCCCTATATCACTTGGAATTTCCAGTTGCATAGACCTCTTATGGGGTACCGATCCCCTTTCTTGCTTGTTTGAAGTGTATGTCACCTCTAACGGTTCTGACTGTAGAGTTAGGATGGACCACCCTTCAAGCCAATTCTTGATTAGAAGGCTCTAATGTTGATTTTACAGAGTTCCCATTTTAAAGTTAAGGAAGTTTGGAACCATAGGGTACCTTTCATAAAATTTTTGTTTTTTGTGGGAAAAAGATTGGAACGAGCATATCTTTCTCCTCGTGTTTGCGTTATGTGCTTGCATAATGGTGAGTCGGTGAACCATCTTTTGTTAAATTTCCCCGTTAGCAGTATGATTTGGTTAATTAACACTTTTGCAATCTCGTTGGTTTGGCATGGATAGGCCCAGAGCATGTAAATGAGCTTCTTTGGCAATAGCGATGACCTTGGAAAAAGAGGTAGAATGTTGCTGTTATGCGGGGAGTTTGGGAGGAAAAGAAACTCCAGAATTTTTAAAAATAAATTCAGGGATTAACATGGGCGGGGCATGTATCACTCTTGGGCTTCAGCTTGTAAAGGGTTTGAGGGTTTTATAGAATAAAACAGTAGATCCATCTTCTAGGTGGATAAATAATTTTTTCACATGAGAAAAAGTTATCAACACTTGGATGGGACAAAAATGTCTATTTTAATGGTAGATTTTTATGGCTAAAATGGTCATTGACTTATTTACCTGAAAAATAAAAGAACATGGGTAAATAACTTACTAAAAAGGAAATGCAGCCTATGTATCTTCTTACTTCTCCTTTAGGCTATGTTTGGTTTGAAGGAAAAAGTAGGGAAGGGAAGGGAAGGAAAAGGTGAGGGAAAGGTAAGAAAACCTCTAAAAAACTTGTATAGATTTCCTTACCTTTCCCTCCCTACTTTTTACTTCAAACCAAACACAGCTTTAGTTTCTAATTCACCAACTTGGCCATTGAATGTGTGAGCACAGTTTACTCTATGTATTTGATAGAAGTTCATTTAAAAATCCTGGTCTGGTGTTGTTTTTGTGTTAAAGACAAGGTAGTATGCCATAGATTTACAGTGGGCCCATAGGGGAGGCTACTTCAACCAAGGCTGAGATTTTGGAAGTGTTAACAAAGCTAAGAATTGCAATGAATGGGGGACTTCTCTCCATTGTTAGTAGTGGGTGATTCGCTAGGAACAAGTCAAGGAGGTCCTTGCTCTTTATGTGAATGCTTCTCTTAGATGGGTCCCAAGATATCAAAATTCATTAACCGATACATTAGCAAAAAATAGAGTTAATAGAATGGATGTGTAAAAAACACTGTAATGCCCAGATTTTTTTTGGGCTTTTATGTTTATTCCCTCCATTTGTACAGCCTTTTTTTAAAATCCCCCTCAGAATTTTTTTTGCAGCCCCTCCTAGTCTATTAATAACCCTTCTATAAACCACATCTTGCCCGTAAATTTGACATCAATCCACGGACAGGATTCAGTCCGCCCCTAAGAAATCATAGCTCCATCTAAGGGTGGACTGAAACATAAAACCTCCTTTTTTTTATATTAATATGATATAACACCTTATTATAAAGTATGAACCCCAAGCAGAGCTGTAATTTTATTTAAGTATTTTTCTGTTATTGCCTTAATATCCAATTCAACAACCTATACTATAAGTATAATCCGAAGAAACTAAAATCAAAATATTTAAAGAGGGTCTTTGCACCAATTTGTCCAAATTTAAATGAATCTGATGCAAAGGTCCGAACCCAAATCAATGTAAGATATTAATTTGGTTGCAAATTGCATCCCTAAGGCTGCATTTATTTGTGGTATAAAACTATAAATACCGAATCGGTGTTATACTGCACTCTGATCAGATTTTGTATCCCTTTATGTGGAATATAATTAAACACCGAAAATCGATATAAAATTACGTATATTGAGTTTTACATTGTGTAAGTGTAACTTCGATAACAAGTTTACATCGATACTCACAATTCCCATGAGTCAATTCGGAAGAAGTACAAATATAAATATGTACAATATAAATGTATATAAAATATAAGGATTTACACTCTACATTTAACACTATTACACCACTCGGTGTATAACTCCAACGGTGTAAAAGGTCTGAACTGAACTGTGAAACATGGTTCATGATTCATGTAGTTGGGAGATCGGATAAGGCTTGGTCGCTTCATTTACTTAAACAAGGGAGCCATGCCAAATTTGAATTTCTGTTTTGGTCGGAATCGTTTGGTTTTTCACATTAGTTCAAAATCTGGCCTTGGCCGCCGGCTCAGTCCAAAGTTTTCATACTCGAACTTGTCTGAGTTTGGATGGGCCAGTCTAGCCCCAGCCCAGCCTGATGTTCGACACCCTCTTAGATTCTGCTCTCAAACTCGGCCCGCCGGCCTGGGCCCAGCCTTTAGTATAAGGGCAGATTGTAATTTCCGTGTAACTAATCTCTACCGTTAGAGTAGATTCTTAAAGCCGTCGGATCTAGGGCATCGCAAATTGGAAGCCTTTTGTTATGGTTTTATTTGGAGGAGGAGAAACCCCTGTTTCAGTCGTTCTCGTCTCGCAAGAGAAAGCGGGAGACTTAGAAGGGAGGGAAGACTCTAGCGCTCGAAAATGGTTCAGCGCCTCACCTACCGGAAACGGCACAGCTATGCCACCAAATCCAACCAAACGAGGGTCGTCAAAACACCCGGTATCAATCGATTCTCAGACTTCGAGATAACTTAACAAAACCCTAATTTGCTTCCATATTTCTCTCTCATTTCAAAACTATAGCTATGAGGTATAGTTTAGGCACCTGCTTGTTCTTATCAAGGTTCACTGGAAATCGAAATCTGAGTAAATATTTTTGTTCGCGGTACTATACCTTTCGAAAAATAAAATAAAATTCTATGTAGTTTTTCGCTATATTCTTTTTATGTTTTCGTGATTTATTTGTGTCTGTTCGTAACACATTGCTGTTGGATGCTTGCCTTTGGTGGTTATTTATTGGATCTCCGGTGTTTCCTTCATATTCGTTTGATTGCATTTAAATGTTCGTATACGTTGCCTTAGACTATTTTTATTTTTATTTTTTTTTAATTTTTTGTAGTGTATTCCTAAACTTTTTTAGTTATTTTAATTTATTTGATGTTCTCTTATTTATGCATATTATGTTGAATTTAGGTGGGAAGCTCGTCTTCCAGAGCACCAAGAAGAGAGCCAGCGGCCCTAAATGTCCTGTTACCGGAAAGAGAATTCAAGGGGTACGCCTTTGTGTCATAATGCTGCGTTGTTTTCGTTTGATTAAATTTCCTATTGATCCCACGTATATTGCAATGGATATTGGGGATTAGTGTCATTCAGCCGTATTGAATTTTATTTCACCATTTTGTTCAGGACAATAATGGTTGAATCTTAAAAGTCTGAATGTTGTGGTAAAAGTAGATTAATTGTTAAAATGCACCTTCACTTCATATTGTGGAGTTCATCGATGACATTTTCTATTGTTTTTTTATCAGATGGTCATTCATGGCATTTATGCTCTCATTTTCCTTTTATTTTTCTTAGGCTATCTTCTGATGTATCTTGGATAATTGAGTCAAATGAAACACGAGTTAATGATTCTTAAACCCTCAAGCCAATAAGTTTTTGTGAAGTCCTGTTACAAGTGCTCCCCGTTAAAAGTTGAAACAACTTATTACTCCACAAGATAAACTTTACACAATTAATTTGCTTGTTGTTTCAGATTGAGGTGCCACAGATGGACTCAGTAGCTTCCTCGTAAAATGTTACTCAATTAGAATAGTAACCTCAATGGTTAAGAAATATACCAGTGTTGTAAGATCATGGAATAACTTTTGTTTGGGGAATTACTTGTTGGTAATTAGAAGGAATGCCATTTTTTAAAGGTAAAATAGGGTCTAATTTTCAATATAGAAATGCCAGGAATGATAATTATTTTGCATTCATTTTACTTCCAACCAACCACTGTCTCATAGAATTTTTAATAGATAAATTGTTATTCATTTTAGGTGCAGCTAAATGTGGACTTAACATGTTACATGCACACCATGCACACATTTTATGGTTGGAAATGATAATGGATTTTGTGGAGCCTTTGCACGATTTGAGCTATTTCAATCAATAAAATTTGTTCTATTGCAAGGATACGACTTTTTTACTAAACTATACTATACAATATTGGTTGTATGATATTGCATGGGTTGATCTTCATCCCCGTTTCTTTCATTGTCTTGTTTGCAAAGTGGAATAATCTTCTGTTTGGTATTGCAATACTTGTGTGTGTATCCTTGCTTCAGACCCAATTTCTCTTTCAGTCTCCAGTTTCAAATTCAGCGGGCCTCAATCCTAATAGAATGTGTTTCCTTGCTTCAGATTCCTCATTTGAGACCTGCGGAATACAAGAGATCTAGATTATCTAGAAACAGAAGGACAGTAAATCGTGCTTATGGTGGCGTATTGTCTGGAAGTGCTGTGCGGGAGAGGTGGGTTCAATCTTCTATTATTCTCTACATGACAGTTAACTTTTGCTATCGCATCTGTACTTTGTAAAAGTTATGAATTGATATTTGGATATTTTGTTTTAACAGGATCATTCGGGCCTTCTTGGTGGAAGAGCAAAAGATAGTGAAGAAGGTGTTGAAGATCCAGAAGGCAAAGGAAAAGCAAGCCGCAAGGAGTTAAGTGACAAAGAGGGGCTTCAAGTTTTGGTTTAGTTTGATTTTGTCTATTAATGAAACGGTTGCATTGGTTTTGGAATTCGGACGATGTTGCTAGTACTACTATGTTGGCAAATCTGCTCCCAGGTTTTGTTTACTGAATATTAATTGTTTTTTTGGTTGTTGACAATTTCATTTATCTGAATTACTTAGATTAGTTTCTTATGTGTGTTTGCATCTACATAAATACAGTATAGGGAAAATTCCCAATACCCTCTGTACTTTGGGAATAGTGCCACTTTGGTCCCCTAACTTTAAAACATGACAATTCAGTATCCGATTTTTAAAAATGTGTCAATGCATTACCTGTTGTTAACCAATCCTTTAGCCAGCTGTTAAGTGATATTTGAATTTTCTTTATCAACCATCCACATGTTATAAAAATGAGCAGTCTCAAACCTTAGATGACACTTGAAGAGGCAAGGATTTGAGACTTTATTTTTTTTGTCAATATTTGGATGATTGATAAAGAGAATTAGATGACACTTGGAGGGTATTTATGTTTTTTCAAATGACACTTAACGGTTGATTAACGGGCTGGTTAATGGTAGGTATTAGATTGACAAATTTTAAAAGTTTGAGTTCTGAATTGTTGTGTTTTAAAGTTCAGGATGAAAGTGGCACTAGACCTAAAGTACAGAATACTAATCTGGAATTTTCCCTTCATTAGAAGGTGAAAATTCCCCAAATTTTAGATACCTCATTGGGGGGATTCTATGAAATGATCCTTTATGTTGTGACTTGGATGGAAGTGATCCATTGCAAACAATAAAAGAAGCCTCTGTGCTGAGATCTATTTTCACATGGAAATCAACCACACATTGGGAGTATGTCTATTACAAATATCTAACATACCCGTATGTTAATTACTTAAATTCATAAGGAGATGCCCAATGTGTGGCTGGATGCATTATTTGCATAGTATCTGCTTTTACCATTAGCACTGGGCATGGTTTTTGTTTACAAGGCATCCTGTTTCCAAAGTGCGGTTGTATGTCATTCTATTCATAGCGACATTTTAAGCCCATGTTTTTGCTGGAGATAAACCAAAAACCATCCAGCTAGTTTTTCCAAGTCTCACCTCTGGGTGATTCACCTACGATTGAAATTTCGAAGCATATATGGTATTGGCGTTGAAGATTGAAATTGTTCTCTGAATTGGCCACCATAAAATTTGGGCCGTATTAGTAGCATTTTTATTGATAACCTGTTTATGGGAAGAGGTGGTTTCTAACTTTATTCCCGTTGAGAGCGAGTCTGTCACAGATGGATCACGCACTAAATGGTTTATGACGTAGGCACCAATTATCCAGCACTGATTCCGTACAACGAATATACGTAATTAGCTAAGCTTGCATATTAGTAGAGCCTTGTTGTCAGCCTAGGCTGTCGAATATTCCCCCATATAACCATGGAAACATCTGGAAGTCTCTTTTGGCTGGGCTGTTTTGGGAGCCTCTACACATGACACTTTTAACTATTTTTTATCTTTATTTTTCTTTTCGACTAAAAAGTAGTGTGGAGAATGAGTCAATTTATAAGCGGGCATTGATATATAAAATGGGGTATTTGACATTTTAAATTTTTATAGGTCTACAGTGGAATTCAGAAATATTCTCTCTTTTCTAACTACTATTTTACACAGTTAATTATGTGACGTCATTCACAATAGTCTTTTAAAACAGCCAAAGTTTTTCCTTCAATCTGTCATGTACCCAATCATTGTGCTACATTGAATGCGTATGACCTAATCTCACACTTTGCATTAATGGGTTGGTTTAAAACATTTGTAATTGTAGAAGTTCTATTCACTTTCAGGATTCAATTGTGATGTTCTAATTCTTATTTTCATCTGTTGTATTATATTAAGTGTGAAGAGTAAAAGATTGCATCCAAACTTTGGGATCAGAAATGTTGAGGAAATAATGCAAATTAGATAGAGAAAATGCTTGTGAAGGTAGAGAACAAATATTGAAGACTAGCAACAGTATAATAAACTTATATTATAGAACAAATCTTGAAGAATTAGTTCCTTTTCTTTTTAATTGATAAAAGAGAAAACACATTAAAGTTCATATGCAATAAAATCAACCTACTTGTTTGCAACAAATAAATAAATAAAATGTCTGAAAGTAAATATTAACTCCATGTTCTCTGTTTAATTTCATTAGTAGGACAAAGAAAGAAACCATGAAAATTTTCCATTTATTTCCGTTGCTAGTTTGCCTTAATTATTTCTGACCGGCCGGGAAAGCCCTTTTCAGCAGGTGGCGAAGATGCTCCACCAACATGTCGTGAGGTGGGAGTGTTTCTTTAACTAAAGGAAGGCCTAGTAGAGAGGTCATCCATGAGAAGACAAGTGGGTTGTTTGCTGGGTCAATAATCTTGCTGCCGCTCACTTGTTCAAAAGCTTCATGAAGACCCAGTACTGAACCCACGACGATGTCCAGATATCCGGGCGTCCTGCCACCAAAGGACGACGACAGCATGCCAACTGAAATACAGTCTTGAATTCCTTGTTCCAACACCTTCAGTTTCTTATTCAGCTCTTCCTCTGCTTCCGCTTTTTTGCCCCCAATCCATTCTTGTGTTAAAACTGCTATGAGGAAGGAGGGATATGGGTGGTGGTTCTAGCAAGGAAATTAATTGTGTTTACCTGCTGATCAAAGAAATTGGCCCAGAAGCGAAATGTGGCTCTGTGGTAAGGGTCCTGCGGCAGTAGTGGCGGGGAGGTTTTCCAGTTGTCATCGATGTATTCGAGAATTACGAGCGACTCGGTGATAGGTCTTCCATTATGGATGAGTACGGGGACCTTCTTATGAACTGGATTATATTGGAGTAGCATTTGGCTTTTGTCACTCAGATCTTCTTCTACATACTCGTAGCCTATGCCCTTGAGCTTCAGGGCCAATTCAACCCTCTTGCAATATGAGCTTGCCCACATCCCCAATAACTTTACTTCCTTTACCTCGCCCATTCTCTCTCTCTCTCTTCAACGTGAACCTCAGCCTGATGATGCCTTATATAAAGTTTCTATTCGGTTGGTTGGTATTTTATATTTGGATTTAGGTGCGTGGAAGTGTGGAACATGACCTGTTGCTAACAGTAAAAATTAAACAGGTACAATAAAAAAAGCTAGATACATCTACTGAGTTTCTTTCTTTCTTTTCTCTGGAAGCATCCTTGAACCTCCTTTAGGTTTGTTTTATTTGTTTTTTTTATGGGCAACACAGGGTGGGAGCAGCCCATCCCCGAACTCATAAGCCCCCAACCCTGGTGAAATCGTGATCGATCAATCCCAAGTCTCCACAACAATCGGCCAGGAACCTTATTACCAACTCAGTCAATTTGTACCTTTAACCTCTAGCTCCCCCGGAATATCCCCGGATAGAAGAGCTTTGACCAATTAGCACCCCTTCCCCGGAATTTTCATAAATAACCATCTGATTGGTTTTCAATTTTATGGTACTAATTGATTGATTATAAGGTTTTTCGGTATCATAGTTGAACCCTTCTTATAAAACCTTCTCTCACCTTTTCAAAAGAAAACTAGTCCCCCCCTTCCGGAAAGGTAAGAAAACCCATACAAGATTTATTTGTAAAGGTTTCCTTACCTTTCTCTATTTTTTCCTTCAAACCAACATAACCTTAAGGATAAGTAGACTGTACTCCCCTTCATTCATTTATTCAAATATAGATGCTATCATCAGGTTTGGCCCAAGTTAGCATTGTACACTGTTTCGGGCTTGAGCCTTTAGGCTGGGCTCATTCAAATTTTGGTAAAAGCCCATGGCCTCAACCTGAGCCCACCCAAATTACACCCTTAATCATAAAGTATTAATGTCCAATACCAGCCATAGATGCTAAGTGAGAGATTGAATGATTGTGGGCCGCATGTATTTATGATTGATATGGGGCATTCGTTGGTTCCACAGCCTACTAAACAACCATTATATATGTTCAGCTAATTTGATCTCATTCACCTTAGGCTCTATTTGCATCACATGGTTCAATTTTATATCCATTTGTTTGTAACTATGATTTGCATTTCTATCAGATACAAAATTTTACTTTTTGTTTCATTAGCATTTACTAACAGTACAAATTTTGCATCCTAAAAATTGATGAAAAATTTGCACCATCTTCCTTTTACCTCTCTCTCTCTCGTATAATGTGGGGTTACATCATTACCAAACAGACAACTCTCCTATATCTATTTTCTTTGTATAAAGTGGTGACTACTTCATTTTACTTCCTCCTAAACAAATAAAACAAAAATTAAATCCAAGCTCAGCCAACTTTGCCCAAAATCAGTATTACTTTTAAGTGTTGCAGATTTTTTTTTTCACTATCAAAATTAGAAAAAAAAATTCAGTACAAATCAGATTCAACCGGAAGATCAAATTAGATTAATTCAAACCTACTATAATTCTCGACTCAGCTTTAACCCCAAACATCATACGATCAATCATGTCATGCCATTATGATCTATTAAGAATCCTGTTTTTATGGGTCAAATTATAGATCTTTAAAAGATTCTTTATAACTTTAGACTACTTTTTTTTTTTTGGGTTTTCTTTTTACACTTTTTAGTACCAATTTACTACATATAAACTTATCAAGTAAAGTTTTGATACAAACAGCAACTCAAATTTTATGGAATGTCCTCACCTGTTGATGAAGGAAGTTACCCCCAAAAGCGGACCTTTGCTCTTTCGTATGGATCTTCAGGGAGGAGTCGGGGAGCGGTCGTCCAGTTTTCATCGATATACTCAAGAATAACTAGCGACTCAGCAATCGGTTTTTGGTTGTGGACGAGTACGGGAACTGGCTCTTGTATTGGAGTAGCAACTGGCTCTTGTTACTTAAATCTTCCTCCACATAATCATAAGGTATGCCCTTAACTTTTAGGGCCAATTCAATCCTCTTGCAGTAATGGCTTGCCATACATACCATGCCATGGTTTTCAAAACTGGATCGGACCTGAAAAACGGGAACGGTTTCGTTTTTCCTCAAATCCGTTTTTTTTTTCAAAATCGTTGATTTTGGTCAGTAAACTGTTGAACTGGTTGGTTAATTGTTTAAACCATTTGAACAATTTTGACTGTTTTCCAATTTTTTTATATTTTTTGTTTTTATCAAAATGAACCGATCATTCGAACCGATAATCGGATTCCTGACCGATTCAGTCACCGATTCATTTTTAAAAACCATGTACCATGCAGTTTCACTGCTCTTTGCTCCTCCATGCTCTCTCTCTCTCACACATACACACATTTCTTGATCCTGAAGTTTATATAACCCAATTTCTTGGGTTTGAAGTTTATGTTTGTAGAAAGTCTCTGCATATTACATACATTAATAATTTGTTGTGGAAACTGGAAAGTTCTACTTGGACTTTGAAGTTTTCAACCATGTCTTTGATCTTGGCATACCATGCATCTTAGAAATTACACCTTGTTATTTTGCGTTTTTTTAATGTAATGTTTTAGGTGAGTCAAATATGTTTGTTGCTAATTAAAAATCACATCTTGGCTTATTCACTGGTCACTACAAAGACTTTGGCCTATCTTTGGTTTGAAGGAAAAGAAAGGTAGGGAAATTATACAAGGTTTGTAAAGGTTTTCCTACCTTTCCTTATTCTTTACTTCAAATCAAGGTTTTTAAAATTAGCCCAAAGAATGAATTGGTCAGGGGCTTGGTTCCTGGGTCGAACGGTTGGCCCATTCTGATAAAAAAATAAAAAAACGGTCAAAACTGTTAAACGGTTCGAATGATTCAATCATCTAAATCATCTGACCGGTTCCTGGTTTTTTCAATCCAACCGTCCAATCTGATCTGGGTTTGAAAACCATACTTCAAACCAAACACACACTTAGGGTTTATACCCAGACTTACGTGAACGGGAATAAAAGTACAAAAACGAGAAAAAAAAGAGAGGAATTACTTGAGAAGAGAAGATTAATTAGAACGCCTATCTGACCAAGGGCACCTGAACAGTTATTTGTTTTTTTAGCAAGTCACTAGTAGAACGGCATCTAGAAACAAGAATGACTTTTCATCTCGGGCTAAACCAACCCAACAGCTCGAAATTAACAAAACAACGCGAAGGCATATCACAGCTTTGCACTACCTGTCCTCAATACATGAGAAACATGAACTTCTGTACATTATTTTTTTGGTCAATAGAAGATCCAAATGAGCACAACAATATATGGGCGGGGGGGGGGAGGGGGGACTCTCCAAAATGCTGTTACTTTTGTTGCATACAAAAAATAATAACCAAGTAAAAGAAAAGAAAAGAAAAGAATGTGAAGGCTACCAATCAGGCCCTAGATATCGTATAAAATTCTTGACCAAGAACAGACAAATTATTATCAAAGTGCAAGTAAGCATGCATGTATTTGAAATTGTGAAATACTTCTGCTACAGTACATGGACATATTCTGATATTCATAAAACACAAGCAAGCAAGCCTTCCCTCATAGTATATATATAATATTATCTCCTTCTAGCTAATAGGTTAATGAGCAAGCTTCTCTCTCCACTTCCGAATGAGTTCAACCAGTTTGTCATGGGGTGGAAGTGTGTCTTTCATGATAGGGTGTTCTTCAAGAGCGGTGAGCCAGGAATAGCAAAATGGGTACTTGTCTAGGTTGATCAAGTCGGTACCCACCACCAGGGCCTCCTTCACAGCACGGTGGTTGCACATACTCGATCCCATGACAATGTCCAGGAATCCTGGGGAATCTCCATTGAAGAAAGGTGACCTTGCTGTTACAGTACTCTCTTTCTCAAAGAGTTCTTCTTCCATCACTCTCATGTTCTCCAGGAGCTCTTTTATGGCTTTCTCTTGCTCTTCGCCCCCCGTCTTCACAATTGAGTTGATACTCGGGCTCAACTGAAATAAGAATAAGGCACGCACAAATTAATTAATACATCATGGCATTTCTATCAAACCAAACATACAAATTGAGCTTACCTTTTGATCGTAAAAATTGGCCCAGAAGCGGACCTTAGCTCTTTCGTATGGGTCTTCCGGCAGTAGTAGGGGAGCTTTCTTCCAGAACTCATCAACATATTCCAGAATTACAAGAGACTCAGCGATGGGTCTACCGTTATGTACCAATACAGGGACCTTCTTATGAACAGGGTTGTAGTTGAGAAGCGATCGACTCTTGTTGCTTACATCTTCTTCCACATACTCGTAGGGTATGCCCTTAAGTTTGAGGGCCATTTGGACCCTGTTGCAGTAGGAACTTGCCCACACCCCATACAACTTCACCTCCCCCATTCTCTTCTTCTCCCTCTTTCCTCTCACTTACTGAACGTAATAAATAAGCTTGTAGTCGAGGTGTGGCCTTTTCCAGTGGTCGAGATTAGGTGAGTCAATTATGTTTATCCCAGATTGTTCATAGTCATAGGGAGTTACTAATAAAAAATGGGAAATCTAAGATATAGTATGGAAAGAGTTTTGACTAATCAAAACTCACCCATACATAAAAATCCACACGAAAAGATAGACAGATGTTCCAGAAGATAGTATCTCAAGAGGCGAACGGATGGGCCCCCACGGAGCGCGCCCCATACAGCTCATCCACCATGCATTGAAAACATCTTCCGTCGTACTTGTCATGGGAGATGTTCCCAAATCACGGAGGGATGGGCTAATCCACTCAAAGGGTGGAACGACCATCATTAAAAGTTTGTAAACCAAGAAAAAGGAAGCAATGATCCAGCAGGCAGAAGGAGTGCTGATGCTGAATGAACTGTGTGAGACCTGTTGACGAGTTCATCCTTTTTAAAAAACTAGGCAATGGGAATAAGGTCAATTAACTGGGGCGTAATATCAATAAAAATAATTTTAATTTTTTAATATAATTTTTAGAATATGTTATTTTTTTTTAAATACCATATAGGGGTAGAAACACTGTTCATCCACCTCTATCTCTCATTTCTTCTTCTTCTTGTTTTCTTTGTAATCCATTAGGCTCAGTTTGGAAGGAGTACACATACATATGTACAATGCAAATATATACAAAATACAACGTTTTACACTCTACTAATTTGCATTTGTACTCCTTTCAAACCAAGCCTTAAGAGTGTTTCTACAATTGGGTCTCCTACTCTTGATCTTCCCGTGAAATTTCGCAATTCAACCAAATCGGCCCTGCAGGCGAACTTAACATACACCACATCAAGGCAGGCGGAAGCTAACTGCATGGCTACCTGGACTATCTCTTTTTTGTGTTGTGCAACGGCTTCGAATGTTCTTTTGTAACTGGTCAGGTGACCCCGCGCTCGAACGACGATTCTTTGCTCGACCCAAATGATCTTCCCTCGAAGAAGCTCCATCAATGGTGAAATTACGCTAGATTTTACAGTTTCCTCTGCGAACTCGACCTTGTTCATAGTGTAGGAACCAATGACGTAAGCGGCGTAGAGGGGGATGTAAATATTCTGGCCTCTTAGAAGCCTGTTAGAGGTATTTGAAGTAGTTTGAACACCATTAAAACCTAAAAATCAGGATTGTGAGAGATTTATTTGATGGTTTGAAGGAGGAAGGAGATGAATAGCGTTTCTGCCCCTATTTGATATTTTGTAAAAAAATTAACCTATTTTAATAATTATATTAAAAAGATTATTTTTTTTTATATTAGGGCCCAAAAGTTGCCCTTATTGACTATAAATCCAAAAAATAAATCTTGGGTTGTAGAGTTAAAAAAAATATTTGCAATTAATATTCTAATCAGAAAAAGACAATCAAGGACCTAAATGGGGTAACGTGTCATCTGCAGAAACGTTAAAAACAGTTTTCAAACAGCCATGGCCCATGACTAGTTGACTACTTACTGGGTTGTCCCCAAAGAGAAGAAAATGGAAGATTAATCAAGACAGATGTAATGCTGCATACTGTACAATCGTATTCATACACAATGCCAGGCATGCCTCTCTTATTAGAGGCTGTAAGACAATAAACATTAAACACTTCCTTTGGCTGATCAAATGGGTACCAGAGGCAGAGGGCCTCTTTGGTAGATCGGTGGTTGCATACACTCCATCTTATGAGGCAGTGTTTTAAAAACGCCATTGACCCGGCGGTTGAACCGTTCAATTAAAAAATGGTTCATATTTTTTGTCCTGTTTTTCACTTGACTCATTTTTCTATAAAAAATGTTGATTTGATCAGCAAATTGCTGGGCGGTCTAACTGTTGAATTGTTCAATCCAGATGGTAGTATTTTAAAAATGCAATTGATCCGGGTGGTTGAACCATTCAATTCAGAAACAGTTCATATTTTTTATCTTGTTTTTTCACCTTACCTATTTTTTATTTTTCTATAAAAAAAATATTGATTTGATCAGCAAATTGATGGACAATGTAACTATTGTCCGGATGGCAGTTTTGGGGTTGGCTTGGAAAACATTAAAATTAATTTAAAGCAAATAAAAGAAAATAAAAAAATAGTTTTATAATCTATCCATATGCACTCGATTGGTATACATATTAACTGGCCCAGCAGAGACACGGATTCAAATCTCGCTATTATCACGTATTAATGATGTGAAGGTTGATGTTCTTATTTTGAAATCGTTGAATTAGGATTTAGAATATCAGGAATATTACCTGAACCGCACCGCCAGGATTGTTACCACTCATAAAAACTGGTAAATTATAATTTCCTTCAATCCAATGAGATGGGAATACCATCCATCTAAGTTATCCACCTCATCTACCAAGATTCAAAGCATCGATACTATGCATCTTTATTTTTTTTTAATTTGTTTTTAAAAGGGAGAATGACGGTTCAACCCAGGGTCAGAATTTTTAAGCCCAAAGTACAGTTGAGGTGGGTGCCAGCTCGGAATTGATGCCAATTTATAAATAACATTGATGTATAAAATGAGGATTTTTAACATTTTAAATATTTATAACTCTGCAGTGGAATTCAGAAATTTGCATTGGGCTTGTTATTTTCTGTAGTTTAAAATACAGAAAAGACAAAGTCTGGGCCTGTGCTTTCTGTGTTTACAATCTTTCCAATGGAGTCTATAATTTTTTTTTTCTTTTTCTTTGGTAGAAAAAGGATAAAGCTTACATACTATGAGTACATGTACATCTATCAAAAGATACACCCGAAATATCATCCCAGATGAAGTGTAACAATTCTATTGGGGGGATTACAAAAACTGTAGACCTCTGATCTTGAAAAATCTATCAGCATCCCGATTATAGTGTTTGACTTGGACTGTTTGACATTCTTCCATCATATTCAAAATGTTATAAAAAAGGACCGTCCATCTTCCACGTTGGGCAAAGAGATTATGGTAGAGAGAGAGAGAGTCTGCTTTGATGATGAGATGCCTGAAACCCCCCTATCCAATGCTTGAATGATGCCTTCATGGATGGCCCATAGCTCAGTCACATCATTCGTAGTTTGTTTAATTTGCATTGAGTATCTGCCCATCCAATGACCTCTGCATTACACTTGGAAACTGGATTAGCTATCATCATATATAGCTGATGAGTACTTTAAATTTCCTTCCATTATCTAACAGGGTTTTGCGGATTAGAATTGAAGATAGCATCATTACGTGCTTTCCAGATAGAAAGAATTGTGCACTTGGGTAAAAATGGGTCTATAAGATTACGTACCAGGCTGATGGTTCTGTTCAAAAGTATAAGGCAAGGCTTGTTGCACTTGGGTACATGCAGCGAGAGGGGATAGACTTCGAAGAAACCTTCTCTCCAGTAGTAAGGTTTGATACTATACGAACTATTTTATCTATTGCTGCTCATTTTGCTTTTCCATATAGGCCTTAAACTTCTTGAACACCGAAAAGGCTTCTGATTTTTCTTTCAAAAAATATACCCACGTCATTCGGCTAAAATCATCAGCAAAGACTAGAAAATACCTGCTGTTGTTGAGGGAATATGTTGTCATGGGCCCACAAACATCCGCATGAATCAGTTCTGCAGGTTTGGAAGCTCTTCTTGCTTTGCCTGTCGGGAAAGAATCACGGTGCTGCTTTCCAACTACACAACTCTCACAGACATCATCAACATTTTTAATTACAGGCAAACCATCAACAAAATTCTGTTCATACATAAAAGCCAAACTTCTGAAATTAAGATGCCCATATCTATAATGCCAAACCCAGGTTTGGTCACTCACAGTTGCTTTCAAAGCATGCTGATCAGTAGAGGTGAGAATGTAGGGAAAAATTTTGTTTTTTGACATGGGTACTTCAACTACCAACTGCGTTTTTTATTTGTCTTTATATACAAAGCAAATGGAATCTTCAAAGGCAAGAGAATACCCATCCAACATAAATTGCCCAACACTCAACAAATTTGAATTCAGATGAGGAACATATAGAACATTCTGAATATATTTCAATCCAAGAGAGTTCAACATCACAATACCTTTTCCTTGTGCCTCACGTACCGTTCCATCACCCATTGTGATCTAACTAGTCACAGATTCATCTAAATCGGTGAAAAGATGCAAATCACTTGTCATGTGATTGCTGCAGCCGCTGTCGATGTACCAAGCTTTTGGAGAACATTCTTTGGCAGAGAAACATGCAAGAAACAGACTTTCGGTATCATCTTCCCCTTTCTCCTGGGCTAGATTGGCATGCTGCTCCTTACGCCAGCAAAATTTCTCTATATGGCCATATCTCTTAYAGTAGTAACACTGTTTAGGGCTTYGATTCTCACCTTTATCATAGTTTCTTGAACCTTGATCGTACTCATTGGAACGACCACTGCTTCTGCCTCCTCTTCTTCCTCGTGACGAAGAACCACCATGCGACTTGGAGTTGCTTTGACTTCTTGGTTCACCTTGTGAGAGCTGCATCTTACTGTAAAAATCATTCTCAACAGAAACATCATCATATCTCTTCATCCTATCTTCATGAGAGAAAAGAGAACCCTACAACTCATCAAGAGTTAACATACTCAAGTCTTTTGATTTTTCTATTGCAGCCACAACATGATCATATTTCTTAGGCAAACTCATAAGAATTTTCTCAACCACTTTTTGCTCACTCAAATCTTCACCATACTTTCTAATTTGATTCACAACATCAATCATGTTGGAAATATAATCAGACAAAACATCTCCATCTTTTATAAGCAAACTTTCAAATTTTCTACGAAGAGTTTGAAGTTTAACAGTTACCACTTTTGCAGTGCCTTGATACGCTGTATACAATCCATCCCAGGCTTCTTTGGACCTTGTTGCAGCAGATATGCGTCGGAAAATCACGTCATCCACAGCTTGTTGGATGAAGAATAAAGCTTTGGCATCTGTCTTTCGGATGTCTCTGAGAGTATCAGCTGCCACTCCGTCTTCAGTATAGCCCTTCTCCACTAAATCCCATAGTTCTTGGGATAAAAACAAGGTCTTTATCTTGGTACTCTATACATCATAATTACTCTCTTGGAAAATCGGAATTGAAGGTTGTGATGGGTTCACTCCAATGTGATTATTGGCCATCTGGATTGAAATAGCTCTGATACCAGATGTTAAAAAATAAAGGATGGTTAACACAATGAAAAGAATAGTAACAAGACAACGAAATTAGTAGAAAGGGCATATCTTTATTCACTGCATAACCGGCATTTAAATAGCAAGAAAACATAACAAACTATCAGAGATTCTAGTACCAAACACCCCTATGACTCCTAAAAAATAGCAAATACAGCCCAATTGAAAGGACTAAGTCATTATTTGACCAACTCAACAGTAAATAGTTTCTACATTAATCTTTAACATCCTCATGATAATTCTCTCATGTATGTTTAAGCAATTGGTGATCTTCATTTTTATCATTACTATGGATCGGTGCAGGGTGAGAAGGAAGACATCATTCTGGAGCTGATGCATGGCTATCGTAAAGTTGCTTGCTCCTAGCAAGAACCTTTGGATTACGGGGTTGGCATATGGGTTTAATATTCTAATTGGTTGGTTTTCGGACACGAAGGCTTCATGGGTTGCTTGCGAGGATTGGTGACTAGTTGGTGGATGATTTAGTATGACAGGTAGCTGTTGGGTTGGTTATGGACTAGGTAGTAGGAAGGGTTGATTGTTGATTAGTATTTGTGGGGATACTGGAAGAACCAAATTCCATAAATTGATCATTGTGTTCCATATGAGGGCGGGTTCCAGGAATGCGGTCAGCTGCATTGGTTGACCTGTGATGATTAAACTCTCGCTGCTTTGTATCTGTAGTAGATGTTCCCGATCTTGTGCCATTGGAATGCTTAAGACCTTTTGTTCTTGTGCTCTTCAGACGATTGTGCTCTTGTTCGTGCTCTATGTCCATATATACGTGCCTACCGTTCTGATCCATATCTTGATCATCAGAGTTTACAAATGATGTGTTTGTAATCACCTTTGAATGTGTAGATTGAGCCACATCAGATTGATATTCTTGCAGAGAATTATTGACACGTTCAGCACCTTGCTTGTTCCTCGTGTCCTTTGGTGGCGGCTGAGAAAGCCACCTTAATGTAGGTGTCTCTTCACTTGACGGGAGATTAGATCGAAATTGCTCAACATGGATGGTTTGCACCTGCGATGCCTGATTTTCTTCATGGTTAATGGCCACCTATTTAGATTTTCTGATCGTCGGATCATCAGTAGATTTCCTCTGTATAGAGATGCTTGATTGCATAGCTGCCTTGGGTTGATACCTCGTACTGCTTCGTAATACTTGGAATGTGTTTGGATGGGAAAAACTACTTATACTTGTATGATGCATGTTACCAGTGTCCTCTAGCTGGGGTTGATTACCGTTTGGTTGCACTGATTTTTTCCGCAGCCGTCGGGAAGATACTTGTATCCATGGACCAAGTTTACGTTGAAGGTGATTATTTTGATCAGCATTTGGAGTAATTCCACTACTCCCTTGCGTGTTCTCAACCACCGATGCATCCGTCTGCGAAACTTGGAAATGGCATTGGTCCTTTCGATGACCCACCCAGCCACATTGGTAATTTTTCATATGATAATGCAACCATTGACCATCAATTTGGATCCTTGTATGTAGTGGCTTCCTCAAATCAAATTCCACACACAAACGTACAAATCGACTACTTATGCGTTGGGATTATACATTGGGGGCTCAGAGCTTGTACCCACATCTCAAACCACTACTTGTTCCCACATCTCAATCCATAGGACATAAAGTAGCGCGCATTAGGAATATCTCATAGGAGATGTTTTCAATACAGGGAGGCGGGTATAGATGTATTCGGTGGGCATAGATATGGGAACAAATAGTAGGTGGCAGATCCGGAGTGGTACGTTGGTGTAAATTGTTGGCGGATTCTATAATATGGGCTTTTAGCTTGGCCTACAACATCCATTCCAATAGGCTTACATCTCCGCCCCACAGCACATTCCGCCGTTTATTGTGGACATTTTTCGCCGATAGTACTAATCCCGATGATGTCATCATCGGGAGATATTCACAATACACGGCGGGACGTGCTATGGGGCGGAGATGTATACCATCAATTGCGGGTTTCGCACGTTCGGTTCGGACGTTCCCATACGGCCATGCCTGCGAATCAAACCTACTTCGTGTGTTAACTTTAAACAAAATGAATTCTCTCCTTCCGACAATCCGACATGAATCAAATGAGTTTCCTCAACGACCAAACCCTTTCTGCAAAAAAATTCCAATCTTTCCCTATCAGATGTATATATTCCCTCTCCCTCCTTGAAATCCCATTAACATTTCAAGGTGAGCATGACAAATATCGTACATCTTTTAACCCAGTTGACTACTTTAGTGACCCAAGAAATGCAAGTTCCCACAGCCGGATAGATCAAATCAATTCATTCCCATATCATCAAAACGCCCCTTATTTAGTCCGTTTCCTTCGTTGCCAACTCTGTTATTGAATGCTATTGTGAATGTGCAGCAATGGACGATGCCATCCGCCATCCGATTGTTCGATGAAATCCCTTATCTAAATGGTATCTCATGGAATATCACCATTTCAGGTTGCAACCAAAACCTTAAACATGAGGATTCTTGGAGAGTATTTTGCAGAATGCTTTCTTTTGGGTTTAACCCCAATCAGTTCACGGGTGTGTTCTTTCAGCTTGCACTGCTTCTCAGGCTATTTTTAATGGTCACCAGATTCGTTCTCGCTTAGTAAAGGGTGCTTTACTAATGTATGTTTATGTTCGGACCGGAATGATAGATTTGTTTTCAAAAGTGGGAGTTTCAAATATGCTTTGACTGAATTTCAAGATGTTTTATGTGAGAATATCGCATGTTGGAATGCTATAATCGCTGGTGCTGTTAAGAATGGGGAAAGCGTGATTGCTTTAGATATTTTTCTTGAAATGCTAGGTGAGTTCTCTCGATGCCAAACAGTTTTACATTTTCAAGCATTTTGAGAACTTATACTGCACTTGGAGATCGAACAAGGGATTGGCAAAGGGTTCATGGGTGGGTGATCAAATGTGGCGTATAAGATATCTTTGTGGGAATTGCTATTGTTCATCTTTATTTCTAGTGTGGTGATATTGATGAACATGTAAATGAATTTTAATGTATGCCAGTCCATAATGTAGATTCTTTGGACTGCCATAATTTCAGGTGTTGTTCAGAAAGAGGATTGCATTTCTGCTCTAAGTTCTTCAAAGAAATGAGAGTAGTTGGGGAAGAAATTAATACTTACACATGGCTCGTGCTAACCTTGAATGGTGAGAGAAGCCATCCAAATCCATTCATTGATTATAAAAACTGGGTTTTGTTCAGATTCCACAGTGAGGAGATCTTTGATTAACATGTATGCAAAAATAGGAGCAGTTGAGTTATATCTGCTTTCGCTCAGAAACTAGAGTCCAGGAAGGACAATTGAATTATTTAGGAGGATGGTTCAGGGAGGTCTAAGATGAATTTTGTAGTTCTAGTATTTTAAGTATTGTTGACCATTTATATCTTTGGGAAACAGATCTATTGTTGCATTTTTAAAGCTGGGTTGATTTCTCATGTTCTTGTTGGAAGTGCTTTTTTCTCAATGTACTCCAAATGCGGTTTCTTAGAGGAATCTTGCGAAATTTTTGAATAGATCCATGACAAGGATGCAATTTTATGAGCCTCAATGATTACAGGTTTTGTAGAACATTGTTGTGCAGATCAGGCGTTTCACCTATTCCGTGAGATGGTGCTTGAAGAAATTAGACCTGACGAAATTTCCTTAACTGCAATCCTCACTGCATGTTCTTCTCTTCAGTTCTTGAAGAAAGGCAAAGAAGTTCATGGACATGCTCTTCTGCATAGAATCATTTGAACAGTGCAGTGGAAATTGAGGCAGTGACGAACAATTCTTTTTTTTTTTTGTCAAAATAGCAAACTAAACCAAAATGAATAATCTTTTTTTTTCTTATATTTCCTTTTCCTTTCTTATGAATAGAAAACCTCTTAGTGGCTCTCTCTGTATAATATGATTTTGTTGAACCACAAATTTTGTTCTGTATTGCATTCAAATCTCTCTGTACACATGTGCAATAATCTTCCATTAACTTTTCTTTGATGTTATCATATTTTAAGTTAGCATTTTAGCATTAAATCTCAGCCTTGGAAAAAAAAAGTCTAGGCTGCATGGAACAAAACATTTAACATGGTGGGTTTATTTTAACATAATTTTGATTAAAGGAAAGACTGTACAGTAAATACTGTAAAAAAATGTTTCTAAGAAATGCTCCATACTAACTGACTCAAAGCTAGAATATAGGTATTCTTTGTAAAGCAATTTAATTGATCAAGTGTAGCACTTGTTTGTGGAATAACTGGTTGACATCTCACTAGGACATGGGGAAGAATCCCATGGAAAATTGGGCTTCCATGCATCAAACGTGCTTGAAGGCAAACTGAAGGGAAAGCCAATGGTTCGAACATTTTCCCACTGCTGGTTATTAACATAGGAAATATTTGAATTCTTCCTCAAGCATGTCTCTTCTACACCTGTGCCCATGTGCCCTTGCATTTCCTGTGGTAAAGAGATCGAGAAGCCGTTGAGCTGTTGTTGTGTTCCTCCAAAATCTATACTGTCGGAGGTTTTACCAACATCCCCCATTATGACAGGTGAAAGATTTAAAAGCATAGAAGCAGCATCAATTGTACACTTCCCAGCTCCTGAAATTTCAAGTGGTGAGAACGTGAAGCCTGAAGGAAGATCTCCATTTGAAAAGGGAAGCAGGGATGTTTTAGAGAACGCTTGCTGATTAATGGATTTGTAAGATGGTGCATCTAGAGCAGAGTGACTACTGCAGGTAGTGGAGGACTGGTGCAGGTCATTATTAAAACCAAACTGATGAACAGCTGATGATCCCGCTTCAGTTGTGCAAGATATATTCTCTGGACTGAACTGAGGGTAATGTGCGGCAGCTTGACTGCGTATATCAGATCTGGCTGTCTCAGGTAACGGAGAGACCCAGGAGTGAGAGAGAGCTCTCTGTCCTATGGAGTTCGTTTTCTTGAAAATCCTGCAAATCGCCCATGAATCCTACATACAGACCAGAGAAAGAAACTAATAATTAATCAATCTAAACCTGCATATCCAAGAAAATGCTAGCTATGAATATATAACAGATTTTAATTAGAAGCTAGCTTAGCTAGGTGGTTGACTCGGGCTTACATTGGCAGGAAGGTTTTTATCCATAGGGGTCGTCTTCTTAGGAGGAACCGAGTCAGATAGAGATGGCAGCCGGAATTCATGCATCATCCAGTCCGTTTTAATACCTTTGGCAGCTCTTCCCTTGTAGAACACAAGGGATTTCTTCAAACCAATGCACTTGGTTCCTTCAGAGGAATAGATAGGGCGGTCGGTTCCTGTGGCTTTCCAAAATCCAGCACCTGTCACTCGGTTAGGTCTCGTACTGTTCCTGTATTTACGATCCCTTGGACAGTAGAAATACCATTCTTTCTCTCCCGTAGTTGCCAACTCTTCATGCAGAATGAAAAAAGATGACAACAAGTATGTTACTTTTCAGACAAATTGCAAAGGAAATGAAGAACTAAAAGCTGTGGGTTTCTTGATTAATTTAATGATTTAGTTAAAGATCTATTTCTATAAGTAGTTTCAATAGATTAATAAGGTGAAAACAACAAATGTTTATATCTTTCTCAAATAAAAAAAGTTTACATAGTATATATATATAACAGTAGTTGCTGAAATTAATTAATAATCACAAACAGTATATCTTTCCAGACATGGCAGCATATATATATATATATATATATATATATATATATATATATATATATATATAAGATACCTCCATAGAGAATGATCATCACAAGGCAATAACTTATTTTGCTTGGCAGCTATAAACTATAAGGAAGCTTATAATAAAGAGAAACTAAACTAAACCAACCCCAAAGCCACTATTGAAAGGAACTAATAATTAAGGAGAATTACAGAATTTCCCAGTGCCTATATACCCAATAAGTGTATACTCGAAAGAAACTGCCATGCACCAGATTTGAATGATCTTACTTGGAAGATCCCAGGGATCGTATTTATAGATATCCAGTTGCTTGATAAGCTCGATGGAGAGATTTTTTTGCTGGATCTTCCTCTTCAAATAGAAAGCAACAAGCTCTTCATCAGTTGGATGAAATCTAAACCCAGGCAGCATCACTTCATCCATCTTATCCATATCATTCTTCTCATCCATCTGTCTCTCTCTCTCTCTCTCTCGTCTCTGTAAGGCTGCAACCTGCCTTTCTTTTCCTCAGCTCGAAACTTCTCAGAGATGCACAAGGAATATCAGCAACACTGACGATAACTCTAAGTAGTCATTGCAACAAGTAAAACGTACAGCTCATCAGGAGACGAAGTTCACAGCCCAGCTCACTTCGTTCAAAGCCATTATATGCTTCCTGAGGAGGTGTCTGCTTCCGAAGCTCCGGCCGCCCTTTCAGGGTGACTGTGTTGGAGTGCGTGTTTTTGCGAGGATCGCGGTGATTCCGAGAGAAGCTTAATTATGCATGCCAAAGCTAGCTCTAATTAAAGAATAACCGCCAAAGAACAGTCAAGACTCAAGAGGAGTGCGTTTTCAAGGGAAACTCTTGAACTCTTGTCATCACTTCCCTTCTCGAACCCATACATATATATAGGCATAGGGTGTTTGTTTAATTCCGATCGAGGCGAAGGATCTCTAGACACTACAAAATCAGCAGTTTTTGGGGATCTCTAAATCAAATTGTTTTCATAGTTCTCATGCCCATCTCATGGAAACTTTGTTGTATCTATAATATTTAATCAATACAAAGCAAACTTCTTCTACAGTTCTACTCTAGTTTTTAAAATAATCGTTACTTGACTACTTGTCTTCTGTGCGTAAATGGGGGGCTGAAGGCATGAAGGCAGCTGAAATTAAACAACCTCCGGTGCAAATTAAAAGCTCAAATTTATATTCAATCCCAAAGATTGTTTGAAAATTCCTCTTAAAGCCCTTTAATATATCTTCAATAAAGTTGTTATTTTCATGACCAGTTCATCATCATCAGGACCAAAAAATCCCATTTCTATTCCTCATTATCCTACCTACTAAAGGAGAGGAGATATGGCCTCTGACTTTTCGGTCTAAATTATTTGTATATTAATGGAAATTCCTCGATCTCCCAAGTCCAAACGTATGAATGCCGATACTTATTGCCGTGTCCTCATGTCCAGACTACCATCCAAACTTCATTCCATTTATATTTTACTCTCTCCACTTATCTTATATGCACGTCCACTGGATTAGTAACCATTGTGTTGAGCTGATGAGCTAATACCCAGTAATCACTTTTTTTCTCACGTAACACAGTAAAATGGATTAACCCTAGGTGTACCTAGCTAATATAATGGGCCAGTAAATTAATATTAGCTCTGTGCATGCAGCAATTAATATTAATGATATCGATGAAGGGTCCAGAAATACCAAGATTTCTGAAATTTAATGATATCGATGAAGTGGGTTTATGATGGTCAGCCAAGTGAAGGCTTAAAAGCCGGCCCTTCCCAAAATTTTAGGAGCAGAATTGGAGGTCAATTATGATATCAGATCACTTGTTTAAGACTGATGAAATTGAGATTCTTTTTTTGTAATGCCAAATAAGGTTATTATATCACTTATTATGATATCAGATCACTTATTATATCCTCTCTCTCTCTCCCTGAGAAATAGATCTTATATCTTCATAAAACTCGTCATATATATATATATATATATATATTTAAGCTAATTCTATTACTTTGAGTTAGCTTAGCATGTCTGGTAGATGGAGAACAAATGAAGTACTATCTAATAAATAGGAAGATCCTTTTAAGTCAAAGACCCAGTTTGGAAGAGAAATTAAAACCCCAAAACCTAGCCCTCGTTTGAAACCCTTCTTGTCTGTTCCTTGACCCTAGGGTTTGGTTTTGCAACCCAATAAGTTAAAAAATGGGTCCAACACTTAAAGTCCAAGTTATCCCACCTCTTTCTAAATTGAACAATAAATATAATACTTCCCCAATGTCGTTAGTCCACCTCTAGCCGTTAACAAATTACAAATCTCCTTAATTAAATCTCAACAATTAGCTGGCCACACTTTTCCAATTATTATTTTATATATTAATCAGCCCTGAATTCCGCCTATGATTTAATACATCATGCTTTTAATTCTGTTCATACGTTCAAGAAAACCCATCTTTCCTATGTAGAAAATCCAGGCAATTTTCAAAACATCTGGTCTCAAGTCTCAACTTAAAAACATATATTCTAATTGAGAATATTTATGGAGCATACATTACTGAGCAACCAACCATTCTGTGCCATACTCGTGATAGTTCGGTGTCTACCATCCTTGGGTTCAACTTCGACCAATTGCCAATAGGTTAGGAACCGTCCCAACCAACAAATGAATTTGACCGCTTGATCTAACACAATACCTTTGAAAATTTAATAAGATGGTCCCAGCCCTCCTCTTACAATACAAGGATTATATGTATTGCATTGGTAGACCTCTGGACCATATAACCTGCCACCCCACCACTACAACGACACCTAATTAAGTAGTAAGTACTCAGTACTCACTCATTATATAATTGTTTTTGGCTTTTTGCTTTATGTGAATGGTGAGCCCAGAAAACAAAAAACCAACTCGTATCAGTTTAGTAGTTGAAATTATTTTTCAAATATATTCTTAGAGCCCCTAAATTTCCCAACCGGCTTTGAGTCTTATCACCTAAATTATCATTCTTTCAATTCACTCAAGCATCTATTGGTGGGTCTATTCGTTGCTCTCAGAAAGCTACCTTTGATTTAAAATCTTATGACTTTTATCTTTTATTTGTGCATGTAATGTAAGGCCACAATAGAATTCCAAGTCCAAGCGTGGCCAACCACCCTAATCCCATAAGAGAGAGAGAGATCAGAGAACATCAATCCGGGTTTGTCTTGCTTTTCGTGATGAATTTAGAGTATCATTGAAATTTGCTTTAATCAATCAATATTTGGATTTATTTGCTGAAATTGATAGAGGCTGCAAATTCATGAATAAGAGGGCATCTTATATTCTTATTTCAACTGCAAGACTAATAAAACTATCCATATACGAACCACCCATTTGATTGTGATTTGTGAAGCTCAAGATTTCTGTGACAGTTGTTAACTCCTAGAAGCAAAGGTGACATATAATAAATAAGACAGCACTTTCAATAGAGGCGTATGATATTTGATACATGATAAAATCAAATATAAGACAGCACAGCAATTCAATAGGAGAGTGGCTTGACGTGGATTCGATTCCTACAACTACAGACTTTGGAGAGGGGGTTATTAGTGTGGTGCTGCGCTACCCAAACGACCCTATGGGGGGTTATTATGCAGCTTTATAATTTTTACCCATGAGGCATTTACTTTATTACTGTTAACAAATAGTGTACACTGTAGAAAGGCTATTCTTGCTCCAGCATTTTTTCCCTTCTTCTTCTTGAACCTGTCTGTACTTTGTCTCCTCAGCTTTTAAGTTAGTAGTGGTAATAATGCTGCTGCTGGTGTAACAACAAAAGGTGTCAATCTGAAAGCATAACAAGGATCTTAGATCATATCAGACTCGTCAAAATGGAAAAATAAAAGAGATCCAGACATCCAGTCACAAATAAAATCGGATGGGTGCAAGAGTGAAGCCTTTCAGTCAGGGAAGTGTTGTATATCTTCGATCAATTTATAGCTAAATTAAATCTTCAAATATACAGGAAACTACATAACTCATACATGGCTATCTGACTGCGCCAATTTTGTGTTGTCTCAAATTCATAAAGACCTCAAGCACCAATCGATTTTAGCGCAGGACTCCAAGGGCAAGAATAGAAATCACTCCTGAGGTTAAGAGAAAATTTAGCAATTTTAGCTTGTTGCTGATTTGGGTACATCCCTTATTTGTTAGGCCAGACACATTCCAGGTGGAGACAATAGAAGATATCCCTATCTACTAATCTACAATTACTAATGTTAATGCTAATCTTTAATATGTGGAAAATACTTATGTTTTTAAGAGAGCACCTAACTTTTAGTAGGCAATGTGCGCAAGCCACCACCCTAGGACCTGGATGGAGTTTTTACTCCTGATCACCATGAAAAGGATTCTGGTGTCTGACATGCGTGGATACCATCTGAAATTCTGATCATGCTTTTTCAGCATTCTATTGCAGACATTTGTCAACAGTCTAAACATAACTGGTTATTTTCTGATTAATTAAGTTTATATCAGTGG